CCTAGGTATCGACGATACTAACATCTGACACTCCAAGAACCTTTGAAGACTTAATTATGAGTTTGCGCATTGTTCAGGTTTCTTACTGATGGTCATTTACTTCTTATCGCCATCTCGACTTCGTGGTTTTGGTGAGGAAAGAGTCTGAGCTTCCCGAGGTCTTCACCCACCGGATGAATCGCCCGTAAGCATGGAAGAGGAAGTGGAGAGGAAAATCTCCGAGCTACAATGCTACTGTGGCGCCGTCAAACCGGAACAAGCTTTTCACGCCGAGAACACGAGCGCCAGTCAGGCACGGCACGATATCGTAGCGTTTGATATGTGCGTGCGCTGATAATGACGATGCGAGGCTCACCAAGAGACGATTCCACAACCGACCAGCATTGTGTCAAGACAACCTGGCCGTTGCCGCTGAACCGGGATGCTAGCGGTCGATCACTTCGACTTCATGCGTTCGTATTGTTGCTTTGATTTTCTTTCTCGAGCATTTATCAATTGCCTTAAGCAGCCATTGACTCCGCGTAGCAGGAGCCCTGTAATGCGACCATCAGGACATTTCATACAAGCCTAAAGCAACTTACTCGAGTGAATAGCCGTTGGACGAATCGTTGGTTGAAAGTTCTAAAAAAGAGTCAAATTTGTGGATGGTTGATATTGAACGATAGAAGTAGCATCGGAACAGTCTCTTCCAGGAAAATCGTACAACTGTTACGAACTCGTCGCATCAGATCATTGAGACGTCTCTAGCACCGTGCGTTTGTATTGAAGAGGCATTCGATGTTGGTGGTGGTGGTCGAGTAGATTAAAAACTTAGGGTGGTAATCTCATGAAGCTTTGTCATTGTCACCCACCGCTTACGAAGGACTAGACCCCGGGGCTGCCCAGCAGCAACGTCGGTGTTTAAATTTGATACTCATCCCATGAGAGAGCGTCATATATACTATAACCAGCCTGGGGCGAGTAAGTGCTGACGATGGATGTGTGCAGAGGACACGGACGAAGTGTAGTCAGAGGGTGATAAGAAGACAAGCGATAGCCTGAAAACATGATATTCTGTTATTGTATCGCAGCCTCCCATTCCTTCAGCGCAGACCTCAGTCTTACTTCAACGCCGTTCTCATGCCAAAAGTGCCCCGCGCCTGCGACCTCAACACTGGTAAAGCGTGAATTCGGCTCGGCCTTGAGCTGCTCTGACCAATCCCGGATTTTCTTTGACGAAGCGAAGATATCTTGATCGCCATAGATGGCTAGGGTTATATGCTTTCCAATCACTTCCTGACAGTCGTCTTTAGACCTGCTCCAAAACTTGTGTATCAGGGCCGGTGCAGCAAGTGTAGAGGTTGGCGGCGTAAGCGGTGAGATGAGGAGATAGCGTACATCTGGCATTGTAGCCGTCGGGCTCTTCTTCTCTGGCTGCGGTATCGGTTCGTGGCTTTCGTGCCGTCGCCTGTGACTGAGGCTTCTTAACCTCGTTCGGATTTCGAGCCGCGAACCGCCCTCTAGACTTCTTCGGACGTCTCTGCTACTCCGGCGCTTCTCTGGACTTGTCTCTTCCCCACCCATTGTAACCTGAGGTCGCGGTTCGTTTCCTGCTCGGCTCTTCCGCCTAGCTCTGGTTTCATCCCGAGCTAGGTTGATCCATTCCAGATTGCTCTGGTCTGCTAGCTTGCGAGCGCGCAGAACTATCTCATCGGCCGCAGTGCCTGCCACTGGAGCGGAGAAGGGTTGTAGTATGGTTGGTACGGGCGGTAGGTGTCTAAGCATGAGAGAGCCATACGAATAGCCGCCTAGTATGACTATGGGAGATTCATCGTCATGGGTCGGCGCTACATCGCCTTGATTCGACAGTATCGGAGCCTGATCGGGCGCGAAGGTAAGATCGGAGGTAAGACGTGGTCGAAGGCAGGATATATAGTGCATGAAGAATGCGGCGAAGGATGTATAGTCGTCTAGTTCGGGTCTTCCAGACCAGCTAGTGCGTCCCTTGGACCCGTGAGCACCTCTAGTCCTTATTAGCTACAAACTGCTACAGTGAAGTTCTGTTATGAAAGTACCTGAAGTTGAACGTGCCCACCATCCACCCAGCATGCAAGAACTCTTCTACCACGATGCCAACTACACGATCGTCATAGCTACCACCCATTGGCGCGTATGGGTGTGCCATGACGATACCCCTCTTCCTCCATTGCGCGATATCGGCCGAGTCTTTCGGCTTGGTCAGGGTATCTGGATGGTATATGCGGCAATCGAGTGTCGTGTCATCGTGTATCGACGGTATCGTGAAGCTGTAATGAGCTTCCGGTGGGCGGCGCATCTTCTGGGCCGAATCGAGACCCAGCTGCAGTGCTCATTGCATCTTCGAAAGATGATGATGCTAGGCAGTAGCCGATAAGACTATATGCACAATGCACAATGCAGAATGGTCTTACTATGCGGCTGTGCAAGACCGTGGGGTTGGCTCAGAGTTGCGGAGAGCGTTCCGCTGATCGCGGGGCCCGTGCGACGATGTGTCGAGACGCGTTGGCACAGACAACAACATCCATAATGCACAGTCCTGTGTTACAATAAAAGGTCCAATTCAGGTCAAATCACATGCAATTCATTCTCTATACCCAGGTATCATTGAAGTGTCGTAGTGCTTCCAAGCGTTGACAGCAGCTAGGATAAAGGCGATGCCTCGGGCTGTGCATGTCAGTCTTCGCGCAAGCGAGCGAGGGCTGGTATACGTAACTACGACAAGCTCTCCGCTGTTGGGCCTAAGGTAGCGACTAACCTTCGACGTCTTCCAGTTGGATCCGACGGCACTAGCGCACTCATATCGACTGCCTGTCTTTGCACGAGGCTGCCCCATGTGATAGACGACCGACTCATGCGATGGACGAAACGTCAAAAACGTGTCGGCACCCTGACGTCCAGGTCTTCGATTCATTCCTTTGTTGCATATCTTGCGGCAGCCTCATTACAGAGCCGGCGTCGTCGGCTATTGCTGAGTTACACTACAAGTACAAACCGCTCGAATACGAAAACGAGCAACTTATCCGGCTAGTACGCGTACATCCGGGACAAACGCATGATGCTATCGTATGCGAACTTGTCCAGATCAATCTAGCAGCCGCACACGTTCCCGTTTACGAAGCGGTTTCTTATACTTGGGCAACAACGGACGGCGATGCATCCCTCTCTCGGTCTATCGTCTGTCATGGGAAGAGACTGGCAATCACGAAGAATTGTGAAGCGGCCATTCGATGCCTCAGAAGGCGAAATCATGTTCGTGTCTTGTGGATTGATGCAATGTAGGTTGCCCGTGCAAGCTTTGTATAGCATGAAGTGGCTGATGAGACCATGAATTAGATGTATAGACCAAGAGAGCACAATGGAAAGAAACCACCAAGTTGGCTTAATGGATGAAGTCTATTCGAAAGCCTCGCAGGTACTAATATACCTGGGCTTCCACGATCCCGTGACAATGTCGGCGTTCTTGGTCTACCTTGACAAACGAGCTCGAGGCATCATCACCGGACATCCTAGGATCGAGAGGACTTGGCTGGAGGATTTCCTACAACACCCATACTTTAACAGGGTCTGGGTACTTCAGGAGATATCGCTGGCGAAGCTTGTCGTTTTACACACGGATGATCACACTATATATTGGGATGCACGCACCGTTCAGGAGCTCATCTCGCATTGCCAGAGTTTGAACTACGATTCTCCAGGTGCTCTGCACTGGCTTCCTGCGACTCACAGAAACGAATACGACTGTTTAGAACTGTTGCATCGAGCTCGCTGCTGCATGGCCACAGATCCGAGGGACAAAGTTTTCGCTCTTTACGGTTTCCTTCCCCTATACTTCCGAGAAGCTGTTCCAGTGAACTATGCCATAGGCGCTGAAGAAGTCTATTTGAAGGTCGCAGAATACTTGGTGTCCACTACAAGACGACTAGATGTATTGAAGCATGTATCTCCCTATCAGCCTCTGGATCCTGAAGTAATGCCCAGTTGGGTACCAGAATGGAGTGCAAGGCACTTTGTCGACGTGGAGCTTCCAAAGTTCACAGCTTCACAGATCGAAAGGTTTGCAATGATCGGTCCCGGTCCAGCGCCAATGAAAGCTTTGTCAAACATCGGAACGCGACCAACAATAGCACGGGTTGAACAGAGGACTCAGCAGACGAAGTTCAGCCCTGAACAGAACGACTCTTTACTATGTTACCGGTACCGGAATGCTAAATTCCATGATCATCATTCGACAAGTATCGAAGTTACCGCCCAAAGATTCGAGGCGCCCCCGTGTTTGCGGGTTCGAGGCTATCTTCTAGACGAGGTCACTACGCATACCTACAACATGCCTCGTTTCGAGAACGGCAGGCTCGCACAGCGGTTGCGAGTCGACCCGACAGGCACGCCTTTTCTCCATTCGAGCTTATGTCGATCTTGTAACGAGAACCTGGCAGAGAGAGCTTGTGGCGGTGCCCCATCCGACAAGCATCACTATTATCAAGTGTGGCAACTAGAACAATTCACCAAAGTCCCGGCGAAGCTTCCCGGAAGAAAACAAGCATTTCTGACAGAACAATCGATCGGATTCGTCTTATTTACATCTATTCATCAATCATCAGAACCCCAGCGATTGAGGACAGTAAAAACAGGGGATACAATCTGGGCTATAGAAGGGCTCGATGTACCCGTCGTTTTGCGTCGCAGGGCCCAAGACGGGGAAGCACAGTACATTTTTGTTGGACAATGCTATCTTCACAGAGCAGGGCTGGACCATGAGTGCCCTGCATGTGGTTCAAGCTCTCAACCATGGTCAATGAAGTACGCGACTATCGACATTTGGTAGCGTTGAGATTATCTTCAAACAACAGTGCACTGATACACGAGCATTGAAGTAAGCACTGAGCGGCAGTTCAAGATTATAAATTATCCGCACCAATCCATACCCAAGACATAATGCCCTGAGTAAAGAAAGACACCCAACTACAGCTTAACAGCCCACCGCTTCACAGCGGCCGAAGTGCACCACTCCTATCTTCAGCCCACCTACCAGCGATGGCCTGTCGTGTACTCTTCCCCCAAAATGCCACCGGCATAGCAACCAACCCACCCACAATCTGGAAAATCATGAGTTCAATACCAACCCACACGTATCCATGTGATTCAATCCAGGGCACAAGCGCAAAGCTCATAGCCCAAGTGAGGAAGTAGCAACCTCCAAAAACAACAGCGATGGCAGGAGCTGCCCACCGTGGGAAGGCTTCGGTAACCCAAAGCGTGTTCGCAATCATCATCGTTATGAAAGAGAAGCCGTTGATTCCGTATGCGAAGTAGAAAGCAGACGCCATCCATTGGTACTGCACTGCGAGGCCGTAGATGAGAGAGCTTAGTGCGCCGGTGAGGACGGGGAGGATGTAGCTGACGAGGTAGTGTTCAGCTTCTAGGACACCTTTGTTGCGGCTTGATAGACGTTTGAGCACCTTGCCGAAAAGGATGGCGAAGATGGGCAGGCCGCATAGGGCTCCGATACCGGATGCGACGTTGACTGTGCCAACAAGGCCGGGTGGTATGTTGTAAGGTGGTGCGATAAGGATCTTTGCGTACGTTGCGCCGATGAAGATCATGCTTGCCGAGTTGAAGGCAGAGGCAACGAAGACCCAGAAGATGAGTGGGTTGACGGCACAGTAACCCATTTGGATAACGCACCGTCCCGCCGAAGCCCATGACGCGAAGGGTGAGCGTGATAGCCCAACGCGGTCACGGAAACCCGCGAATCCGGTGCGCAGTGGGTATTCGGGGAGGTCGCGATAGATCTCAGAGTCTTTCTCGCGGTCTTCGTAGACGGTCAGCTTCTCGGTGGCACTCTGCAGCAGGATGAGTCCGTTGAAAGCTACTGTTGGCCTCTTGAAGTATGTCTCGGGGTAGAGGAAGAAGGTGACGACGAGCGAGACGACGACGGGAATGGTCCAGTAGTGGTAGAATCGACGCCAGTTGTTGCCGTGGTCGGCTAGGAGGGGTACAAGTGCAACGCCAGAGGTGCCAAAGCAGCCTGCCATGCACCACATGAGGGCTATTCCTATCGATCTCTGGTTGATGTATGTGAGGTCAATGACCATCAAGAAGGCCTGTTGTTGTTAGCGAATGGCACCGTAGTTGCACTGTGGTGTTGCTTACTAGAGACAAAGCAAGCCCTTCTCCCAAACCGAGGAAACAGACTGCGGCGACGAGCGAACAGAAAGTTTGTGCTTGACCGGCCCATACCATAGCGGCCAGTACGACCATGGTCGCTATCAGGATCGTAGGCCGACGACCCAACCCGATTGACACTGGCACCCACAGCAAGCATCCAATACCCATGAGCATGGTCGGGCCTGTCACCAACGCTTTGATCTGCCATTGAGGTATGTCCTAGAAGTATGTGAGCGATAGTCATGTCGAGTAGTCACGTCGGAGCTTACCTCGTCCTGGAACTCTTTCTGGATGCTGTTGAGTATGACTGACGCCGCTTGAGCTGCAGTGAGACAGACAACAGAATAGAGCGCTACGGCGAATAAGGCCCCGGCTGTCTTCCATCTGCCCCAGTTCAAAGGATCGGCCTTGGAATTTGATGGCATAGGCAGTTTGAGCGTCCTGCCATCGTTTGTGATGAGAAAAGTGCTGCCGGCGAGGTTGTATGATTCGCGCTTCGAGGGGTCTGATGTGCCTGGGGTTGTTGACCTAGAACGGTACCCCATAATGGAAGGCACGGATGGCCTCTTGCCGGATGCATCTCCAGTGAGAGGTGCGTATATGGGATGTGGTTCTGAGACTGGAGGAGAGTTGAGTGGTGGAGCCAGCTCCACCATTGGGTGCGGATCTTCCAACGAGGAAGAAGACCTCCCGTTGGAGTATGTTTCGGACATCATGATTTCCATGATAAGAGAGGATAAGGAAAGAGTAGCGACACGAGTCACCACACAAGTGGATCGTGAACGGACGGAACAAGGAAACAAAGGAACGACTCTGAAGGATTGGGAACCTGGAAAGCGTGGCGGTCGCTACGATCTATATCCACAAATACTCGAGGCTCGCGCTTTTCGGCGTTGGCGGGTGTGACCGCACTACTGTCGATCCCATCTAGAGTTGAGGCTTGGAAAGAAAGTATAAGCTCCTGTCTCCTCCATCTGAAGCTCGCCAAAGCCACCGCATCACACCGAGCGCAAAGACGAGCAAGGACGCATCGGCATAACTTCAACGCTTCGTGCGCAAGATGCAGATCCTCGTACCGGTTCGAGCAGCGTGCGCGAGCCCGGGAGATGCCTGAAATCGGCCGATTGGTCTGATCGATTATCACGACCCCAGTGGCCTGGGGACTCATGTTGGGCCTCAAACAACAACGTGATCTTCCAAGGGAACGGGCAAGGCTACGGCCAATCCGCGGTACCATAGCGTTTCACCTGCCGTGCTGATTCAGGATGAGTGACAGCGGCACTCAACGGCTGCCAGTGCACCGTGTCCGGAGAATGACCGATGACTGCTATTCGCCGTCCATCGACGCGTTTCGGAGCCTCAAGGAAAGGTCTGCGAACAACAGTCCCGAGGTCTGGGCTAAAACATCGTTATGTTTGATATGTGGCTAGTAAGCGTATATGTGAGTATGCTGATCATGCGAACGACAAGATCATGGCCTGACGGTGTTTACGGATACCGAGCGTCCTCGGTGCTATACCTGCGAAGATCCGGGGAAGCGAGCTCCACGTAATCCTTCTCACCGCAACTGCGAAGACCTCGAAACCTATGCAACCAAGAAAAGCTTGTCGATCAAGCATACGTACAACGACCGCATGCGTGCAGCGGAGAATTTGTAAGATGAGGCTGGTGAACGTTGGAGACTTGGCCAGCTAAGGGGCGCGCTATTGACCAAGGGTCCCACACCACGTGCAATGATCAGCCGAACAGGCGTTTGCAATCTCGACAAGGCGCGCCCAACTCAATGCTTACGAAATCACGCTGTTCGAGGGCCTCGCAAACCATGCGGAGAGGATGGCGCTGAAACCCAGAGGAACTCGGAGAGATCGAACGACATCGCCGGGCAGCGAAACCGTTAGCTAGCGCTAAAGCCCTGGAACATCCCGCAGCCTGCCACATCTGGCACACTCAGAATTTTGAGTAAATGGCTGCCAAGCATCACGACATCAATTCGTCCGGACAGTCGCCAAGGCCACCGCGAAGCAGAAGACCCCCCGAACCCCCTTATCCCTAACTTCCACCAACAACATTTACGTTTGGCGTGCCAAATAAGCTCTAGGCTACAAGTACTGCAACCAGACGTGCGGACGCTAGAAACGTTATGTCGGCCCGAGCCCGCCTGTCACAAAAGAATGAAGCTCCCCTCCAGTCATCTTCAACGGACGCTTGCTGACTACTGACTTACCAAAGAGGACAAGGCGAGCCAAGGCTATTACTCATCTGCTGTGCTGACTGACTTGAGGCTGGGTTTGTTTGAAATTGCAAAATCGATACCCAACCACCATCGTTGCTAATCATGTCGATCATCACCTGCCTACTTGGGGATCGAAGGAAGAGACTACTTGAGCTTGGGACGCTCCGCATTGCTTGGTAGACCCGAAAGCCTTGCTTTGGTTGCGAAAGCTTCACGAGGCTGTGTCTGTTGTTTGCTGCGGACACTGGGCGGCTAGGTTGGACGACTGGAGTTAACTCCGACGAGCAATCTCGATTACGCACGTTACGCACGCCACAGGAGTTTTGCAATTATCGATTATGAAGATTAACATTTTGTTCTTGAGTTCATATGTAATCATGTGTTGTGGCTTCAGGCGATGTGTTTCCACCAGTGTAGTGGGAGTCACAGAAACGATAGCGGTTTCGATAGGTTATGCTAAAGATCAGCCAGTCAGCCCCAGGGTTGCGTTCAAGCGATAGTCTTCGTCCGAGTGCATGGCCGTAGCAATACTTGCATTCTGCATACAGTTGGTGTGAAACAAGCTGACAGTCACAAGGCCATTATCTTACTCAACTCCTTGCAACCAGGAAGCACATCGTCTCCCCCATCACAGTACCAAGACAAGACTCCGGGAGGGCGCGGAAGCAATCGAGAATGGTAAATACCGTATGAGGATTGAAATGGGTTATAGCCGTAAGTTCCTTCCGAATGAGGATGAAGACTGCTGCGGTAGCACGAAAATTGGCATGCAGGAATGAAGATCAATATCAATATGGATGGGCTTGGGGTATATGCCTCCGAAGAAACCACCGGATCTCGGAGACCGCTCTCCGCTCTTATCATGACATGATCAATCAGGCTGTACGGGTAAAATCAGCAACAGAGTTTCTTGGGATATTCCTTTTGAAATGGCCATGGTTTGACTCCAACTACATAACGATGCCTTTAGAAGATCCGGGTAAAAATCTTGGGGTATCAGGTGCTAGAACTAAAGCGTAAAAAGAGATGTCGGCGAAGCCAAAGCAGATGTGAAAACCAAAAGAAAAGGTACGGTACAAATGCCGCCCATCATCGTACATCATGTCTGACTCGATTGAACGCCGCTTAGGAGAGGTGCCTCGTGCAGACACGTTGTGAACAGTGAAAAACACCAAAATGTCGCCCTCTTGGGCGAATGTGTGGGAACCGTCCAGGTTGAAGATAGAACGTAGAAGCGAAACGGATACCATGGATGACTGAGCATTGAAGACTTAGCCATTGTACCAACCGTTGGCGCCAACTGTTGCCTCTTCTACTTGGCGTTGAGGTATCAGCGGTGTTGTGATATCGTATGCTTCGATGAACATCCGCCAAGATGGGAAGTCGAGGCTGAACACGGCCTGATGTTTTTGTACGTCTCTCTCTCGGTGTTCTGAGACGCCACTGGGTGCTGCAGGTACTGGTAGTAGTTAGTATATGTACGACTCCATTGAACTCGCAGACTTACAAAGTAGCGGAAGTCCATGTGCGTCTTTGACTATCTTGGCATTTCCTTCCTTCACCAAGAAACTGATGTAGAAAAGGTTCTCGACCGTCTGCCCAAAGTCGTGAGGGTTTATCGCGAAATCGAGCAGGTTGACTGCGGGTTCCTCTTCGGTGGTCATGGCGATTCTGTGGCGTCTAAGGGCAGCGGTTGGAGCGTCGTCAGTATACTCATCGTCTGGCATTGCGTCGATTTCTTCTTGAACCAACGTCTGGGAAACTGTGATATGCTGTTCCAAGCGTGACCTGATACCTCTAACCAAAGTCGTCAAGTTGTTACTCTCATTTTGCTGAATGTCACCGGTTTGAATCTCCTGGGGTCGAGTTGCTGGACCGAGAGGTTGCCGTTGCGATCGTGCTTTCTTTTGAGTCACACGAACGCGCCTCTGAACTGAGAGTGGGCCAAGCAGGAAACTTGATGTTGGCGGTCGCCTGTTACGCGGGAAGCATGCTCGCCGACCTAGTAATGCCCAGTCGAGCCCATCTGGATCTTCCTCGTCATCATCGCCTACGGCTATTGCGGGCGCGTCTTCCTCGCCTGCAATGTGACCGCCAGATTTCATAAAGTATATGCATTTTGAAACGAATTGATCCAGATCGATGCCTACACCAGAATTGCCTAAGCTGTTGTTGAGCTTCTTGCCTGCTAGGTCGCTGGCGCTGACCAGAAAGCGGGAGTCAACCGTAGCATCAGCCGTTTGTCGCACCTTGCCGAACAAGCTGTTTTGTGTCTTGATAGCATCGAGGAGTCCGCTGTCGCGTGATTTGACATAGTCATCGCGATTATCTGCTATGGTCAGTAATATTCATGCGACGTGCACCAAGTTGCTCGACTTACCTTCCAGCATGCGATGGTTATCGCGCATGTTCGCTCGCAGTCTCCTTCGCTGCTCGGGATTCTGGTTTGGGTTGTAGTACTTCTGGTCGCCTTCCTCGTCTGATTCAGGTGGGGGCTGTGAGGGCGTTTCCACTGCGTGCATGTCCTCTTCTTCCTCTTCTTCCTCATCCTCTTCGTGCTCGTCATTTCCATCCTCGTAAATTTGCTGCTGAGCCATTGCGTAGTTATCGGTTCGCCGCCTCTTACCGCCGTGCCCAGTTGTTGAGCCTGAGTCGGGGGTCGGCATACGCACCGACGCGCTGCGCATGCCGCCAGCCTTGCCTCGTCGCGGGGTGTTTGCGCGTGTCTCAGGCTGTTCATTCTCTTTGTCCGAGTTCATTGAGCGCGTCGGGCTGAGGACGGAATAAGATGTGGTGCGCGCATTGCTATCGTTTCGGGGCGCCACGGAGGGGTCGCGATAAAGAGAGTCGACGGTGGAAGCGCGCGTCTGGGGGGTAGCCGAGAGGTGTGTGTTGAGACGCGCCATCCCGCGTCGTGAAAGTGAAAGGGACTAAGGGCGTGGTGGAGGGGTATGCCGGGTCAATGGTGGTGGTGATGCGGGCGATGTCCTGTGCCTGGGACGCGGTTGCCGAAAGTGCACAGGCTCTAGCGCGACTTTGCTAGAGGCAAGTGCGACCGCGCCTCGTCAGCCAAGCCGTGCAGCACGCGAAAGGGCTCTTTCCATTCGCGGACCCCTGCATGCGCGTCGGCTTGTGGAGCTTCTGACCCGCATGGCTTCATCCAGTGCGCAGTGCAAGTGTCTCTCCTTCACCCCGCCAGACGATGCCATGAACGGGCGTTCCCGCTAGCCACCTCGAAACCTGTCATGTGCTGGTAGGTGATAAGACTTTCACAAGCCTCACACCCATGGCATGCCCTAGCCATCAGCTTCCCCACCGCGCACGATGGAGGCCTTCAACTTTGCGACGTCTCTTGACCTGACCGAGTTGTCGGTTCATGTCCGAATGTAGGCAGCCTCGTAGTATAACTGGATATGTGCTGAGTAATGCAGAGATCGTCTTGATGGGAATCAGAAGCCCATCCCGTACTCGGTGTTGTTGAAGAGGCCGGACCTTAGGCACCGAGCTTCAAATATCAAGTGGGTCGCCTCTCACCTGGTGAGAGAGGAAAGTGAAGTACTGACCAGAGTGTAGCCCAAACTTCGAGCTGTACGTCACCGCGCAGATATGGGCAGATAGCAAGCCCCTCACTGTGCCCGTCCAAACCGCCTACAAGTCCTTCAAGAACGCGCGCATCTGGAACGAATGGCTGCAGCTACCCGTGACGTATGCGAACCTCCCCGCCTCCGCCCAGATAGCCATTACGATATGGGACCTATCACCCGCCGAGGATACCGACTCAAGTCTCCATGCGGTGCCCTTTGGTGGCACGACAATACCTCTCTTCGACAACGACAACACGCTCCACAAGGGTAGGCAACGCTGTCGCATACACCGCTTCAAAGCAGCAGATGGCCTCACCAATACTACAACGCCGTGGGTAATACCGCCGGCGCGCAAAAGCAGGAAAGCGCAGGTGGTTGAGGATACCGTGGACGAGCAGGTCGCCGAGATGGAGAAGCTGGAAGGCTTGCTGAAGAAGCAGGAGATGGGCGATCTGCCGACCAACAACTGGCTAGACGGCCTGGTATACAAGAAGATGATGCAAATACGGAAAGAGGCGCTCAAGGCCGAGGCTGCGGCTTTGAACCGCCAGAGCAAGACGAACGGAACGAACGGCTCTGCAGACGGCGAAGACCAGGAACTCTTCTATCTCGACATCGAACTGCCCCGTTTCGACCACGCGATTGTCTTCTCCGACGTCGAGTACCCACCGCCCCCCGTATCAGACTTGCGATTGCCTGCTGAGGCCGACGTGAGGTTGCGTCCTCCACCTGAGGTGTCGTTCGGGCCAGGTATTGACATCGACGGTATCGGATATGGCGATGCAGATGCAGGAAGGCTCATCAAGATCTACGACCCTGAAGTCGGCCGACGAGTGAACCCTGCCGAAGACAAGCATCGCGAGTTGATGCGCAGCCAGCAGACCGATTCACTCGACCGCGACCGCAAGCCCAACGTACACGTTCGAGATAAGCTCAACCTGCTGCTCTCCAAGGGACCGCTCGAGGAGATCACATCACACGAGCGAGACGATATTTGGAAGTTCCGATACTTCTTGCTACGCGACAAGCGGGCCTTGACCAAGTTCGTCAAGTGCGTGAACTGGAAGAACCCGCGAGAAGCCCGGCAAGCTGCACCCTTGCTCGATAAATGGGCAGAAATAGATGTCGACGACGCGCTCGAACTCCTTGGACCCCACTTCGACCACCCCGTAGTACGAAGCTACGCTGTCGAGCGCTTGAAGAAAGCCGACGACGAAGAGCTCCAGCTCTACCTTCTACAACTGGTGCAAGCACTCAAATATGAAGCACCGGGCGAAGGTGATGATTCGTCACTAGCGCGTTTTCTGGTTACTCGCGCAGCCAACAGCTTCACACTGGGCAACTTCCTACATTGGTATCTCATGGTGGAGATCAGCGACTTCAGCACCGACCAGGAGCCAGAACATCGTGAACTCTTCGCTAAGGTCGAATACGACTTTATGGTCGAGCTGGAGAAGACGCCTGAAGGTGTTGAGACCCGTAAGACCTTCCAGCGTCAGGGCGAGCTTCTCACCATCTTGGCCAAAATATCAAAAGACGTGCGCTTTGGTGGAGGAGATCGACCTACCAAGCTTGCCCGTCTCAAGAAGGCGATTGCTGACCCGAAGAACGAGCTCACGAACTTCGACCCACTACCTCTGCCTCTCGATCCTTCCGTATACATTACCGGGATATCGACAGAAGACTGCAATGTTCTGAAATCTTCGTTACTGCCCATGGTACTATCCTTCAAAACGACCACATCAAACCCATATCCGATCATATTCAAGACTGGCGATGATCTACGGCAGGATCAACTCGTCATTCAAATCATCACACTGATGGATCGACTTCTTCGCAAAGAGAATCTGGATCTCAAGCTAACACCCTACCGTATTCTAGCTACTTCCACCTCCGCAGGCGCCTTCCAATTTGTCCCGTCGATGAGTATTGCAGCAGCGTGCCAGAAGCACAAAGGCTCCCTACTTGCCTACCTACGCGCTAATAACCCCGACGACAGCGCCCCACTCGGCGTTCGGAAGGAGGCAATGGACACTTATATCAAGTCCTGCGCTGGTTACTGTGTAATAACGTACCTCCTGGGTGTCGGCGACCGCCATCTCGACAATCTCCTGCTCGCTCCATCGGGTGCATTCTTCCACGTAGACTTTGGATACATTCTCGGACGGGACCCGAAGCCCTTTGCACCAGCCATGAAGCTTTGTCGCGAGATGATTGAAGGTATGGGCGGAGTGCAGCACCCGAACTATCTTGTCTTCAAAGAGTACTCCTACACGGCATGGTCTACCTTGCGCAAGTCGTCAAACCTCATCCTCAACCTGTTCGCTCTCATGCAGGGAGCCAACATCCCGGATATTAAGGTTGAGAGGGAGGGTAGCGTAAGAAAGGTCCAAGAGCGTATGTGGTTAGGAAAGGGTGTCGGTGGTGCCAAGGGTGAAGACGAGGCAGCGAGAGAATGGGAAGGGCTCGTGGAGGAATCATTGGGTGATTGGAAGGCCGGGGTAATTGACTGGGCACATGAGTTTGTTCAGACCTATTGGCGGAAGTAAACCAGACAACAATAAGCACGATAGGTGGAGCTGTCCCCTTGATGTAGGGATCCATGCACATGCCTTTGTTTGATAGTGAGGCATCCCCAGTGCCAAGGCTAACCCCGCCAGATCGACGTCTCCAGGGCTAGCACACGGCGCGTATCCCGGTGGAGACTCCGATGGAGAAGCCCCTCTCCACACACTTTGGATGTTGTATGACTTCACTCACGAAACGTGCCACCGGAGGAATGCAAATGGCGGGTTTCCCAATCGCGAGTACCCGCAGCATCGGTAAGCGTACGTGGAGCTGCTACAATGTAAAAGACGTGTCTATGCCCCTCCATGTCCGGGGCAGTTACACGTATCCGTAGGCTTGCACGGCTACTCAGATAAAATCATCATGTTCACATCCAAGGACAACCGCCTCGTTTTCACATACGATGCTGAACAACTATGGATCGAGCCCTGGGGCCAAAACGCAGTCCGCGTGCGCGCCACCAAGATGCCCACCATGCCACAGGAAGACTGGGCGCTCCTTCCCCAACCCAAGGTCTCTGCCAACATCGACATTGCCAGCAACGACGAGTCAGCAACCCTGACCAATGGCCTCGTCAAAGCCACCATCAGCAAGCGAGGCAAGATCACCATCTCAAACACCAATGGCAAAGTTCTCTTAGAAGAATACGCCCGTAACCGCCGCGATATTGTCGACCCCAAATGCAGCGCGCTGGAAGTCGAAGCCCGGGAATTCTATCCTATTCATGGAGGCGATTACAAGCTTACTGCCCGGTTCGAAAGTCTGGATCCCAAAGAGAAGATCTACGGAATGGGACAGTATCAGCAACCTTACCTTGATATCAAAGGCACACAACTGGAACTTGCGCACCGGAACTCCCAAGCTAGCGTACCTTTTGCTGTCTCATCGCTTGGGTATGGCTTCTTGTGGAACAACCCATCGATTGGCAATGTGGTGTTTGGCAAGAACATTATGAGTTTCGAGGCGTTGTCGACCAAAGTCCTGGACTACTGGGTCGTGGCTGGTGACACGCCAGCGCAGATTGTCGAGTCGTATGCCGATGCCACTGGGAAGGTAAGTCCCAATGTTCATGCCATGAGGTGAGTAAGGAGCTAAACATATGCTATTTCAGGTACCAATGATGCCAGAATACGGTCTAGGCTTCTGGCAATGCAAGCTGCGCTACCAGACCCAAGAAGAACTCCTCCAAGTTGCACGAGAGTATCGGAAACGGAATCTCCCTATTGATCTCATCGTAATCGACTTCTTCCACTGGACCATGCAAGGTGACTGGAAGTTCGATCCAAAGTACTGGCCCGACCCCGATGCCATGGTCAAAGAACTCGAGGAGCTCAAGATCGAGCTCATGATATCCATCTGGCCAACTGTCGACCGGCGATCAGAAAACTACGAGGAAATGGTAGAGAAGGGTCTGCTCATCCGGACTGAGCGTGGTGTACGAACGGCCATGACCTTCCAAGGCCAGACGATCCATTTCGATTCAACAAACCCTGCTGCACGGGAGTATGTGTGGAACAAGGCGAAGCAGAACTACTACAAGAAAGGCATCAAAGTGTTCTGGCTAGACGAAGCAGAGCCAGAGTACCGACACTACGACTTCGACAACTACCGCTACCACCTCGGCCCCAACGTACAAATTGGCAACATCTACCCCCGCGAATACTCTCGCGCATTCTACGAAGGCATGGAAGCCGAAGGCCAAAAGAACATCGTCAATTTGGTCCGCTGCGCCTGGGCCGGCAGCCAACGCTACGGCGCCCTCGTATGGAGCGGCGACATCTCCTCTTCCTGGGGTACATTCCGCAACCAACTCGCCGCAGGCCTCAACATGGGTCTCTCGGGTCTACCATGGTGGACAACCGACATAGGAGGTTTCCACGGCGGCAACCCCGACGACGAAGCGTTCCGCGAACTCTTCGTCCGCTGGTTCCAATGGGGTACCTTCTGCCCCGTCATGCGCCTTCACGGCGACCGCGAGCCACGCCAGCCCAAGACCGCAGACAGCCCTTCCTGCCGCAGCGGCGCAGACAACGAAGTTTGGTCGTACGGCCCCGCTGTCTATGAGATTTGCAAGAAGTACATGGGTATCCGTGAGGATCTACGTGAGTATACGAGGAAGCTCATGGAGGAGGCGCATCAGAAGGGGTCGCCGGTAATGAGGGCGCTTTTCTATGTGTTTCCGCAGGATGCTAGGGCTTGGGAGGTGGAAGAGCAGTATATGTATGGTGATAAGTATCTGATTTGTCCGGTGCTGGCGAAGGGCCAGACGAAGACGAGGGTTTATCTTCCGAAGTTGGAGGCGGGGAAGAAGTGGAAGAGCTACTGGGGTGCGGAGACGTGGGATGGTGGGAAGGATGTTGAGGTTGATAGCCCGTTGGAGGTTATGCCTGTGTTTGAGCGCGTTTAGGACGATGTCGACATAATCCAAATGATTAGTATAGTCCTTAATTAGGGCCTAGTTGACTCCAACGCGCATTCTCTTCTTCATTGTCGGTTCTAGTTGCATCAAAGCTATCGCAGTCTTACCGTATACCAAAGTACCATGACAGGTACTGCCCCAAACCAAGAGCAGGCCTTGTTCTGAGTCAAAGGCGCACTTCATTCCTCGACGTCAGTCCTAGACGTTGCCATCTCGAAGGTGGCCTCGATGTTTGCAGCCCGTGCGAGCCCCACCCTTCCAGTCTCGTGATGACTTCCCAGTTTATGGGCCACGCCATCCCCTCCTGCCACTAAATCCCATCGCTCCTGCCCCCGCATACATTTTGGCTGGGTGACCATGATGACCGGGATGGCCTGCCCTTCGTCTGACCTCGAACTTGAACTGCCTGGGCATATATTTACGCTCTCTCCGCACAATACCTGCTTCTACCTTTCCGGACGATGACCTCTCCTGGAGCGCAGGAGCGGTCGAATGCAGCATGTTCAATATGCGGTCGCGGTTTCGGGAAGCAAGAGCACCTCGTACGGCATATGAGGATCCACACGCGCGAACGACCCTACCCCTGCCCTTCCTGCCACAAGTCTTTCTCACGTCGCGATGTGCTCAGTCGTCACATTGCAGCGCACAATGACCACAGCGACATTGCGACTCAGCTTCCCGCATCACGCGCGTGTTTTCGATGCGCTTCAGATCGCGTCAAATGTTCGCGCGGTCAAAGATGCCGGAGATGCTTACAACGCGGCTATACCTGCGAATATCCGACACTCCGCAGCACGCGAGGCAGAACGGCGGATTCGGGCGCGGATGAGTCCATAGGTGCCTTCAGTACGGAAGGCCTGCAGCCAGACAATATCAATCGCGACAACAATGGCGACTTCAGAACAGCGGACTTCAACGATGCAATAGGACCTCCCTCTGTTAATGCATGGGCGTGGAATAGCAACGTGGACAACAATTTGCTCGCCTCTGACCCATTCGGTATGCCTGGTTTGAGTCTGTCAGACGTGAACTGGTTGTCGCCACAATACTCAGGTCCCATCGACCTCGATGCACTACTCGCAAACTTCGGAGGCCAAGCTAATGGCACCGTGGAGCACTGGACTTGTTCCATCGCGGCAACAACACCCTCAATACCTGCGATCACCACAACATCGCACTTATCAGATCCAGGTAGGACCATACCTGATATAGCACAACAACCAAAGGATACTGCATCTGTTATTTCTACATCGACATCGGAGAACAGATACTACGTTGATGGGGCAGGTGCCAGAGCCCCGTTTGGTGGCAAACCGCAACACTCGATTTGCTCAGAAGAAAACATCGACTTGCAAGATGCGGAAGCCAACGATGCCTCTGCGCCACTTCATACCGCTGATGAAGGCATATTATGCCCATACGCAGCCTACCAAACTCTCTTGGAGGGGATTGCTGTTGAAAGCCGCAATTACCTCAGCGAGATGAGCGCTTCGGACTTTCCCACGTATGAGCAAGTCATCACTTCTGTCCGCCAATACTTCGACAATTTCCACCCAGTCTTTCCGTTCCTGCGGAGATCTTCCTTTGCACAAGATGCTTCTGAGAGTTGGCTCTTGCTACTCGCCGTCTCAATTGTCGGCTCAAAATACTCATGGCTATCGCAGCATCCGCAAAGAACCGAACATCTATCTGGTCTGCTGAGTACTATCCTCACCCGGAGTAAGTATGGTCTGGGCTCGCAAGGTTCGGCAGGTACAGAGGATGTTGACTATAGCCCGAGCTGTGCTCTAGTCATTGCTCGCCCAGATCTGCGTGTTCTTCAAGCTGGAATTCTAAACATTGCTTGCATGTTGCATTCGGGCAAGAAAGTTCTGGTCGAACGTGCCCATATAGAACGACACTACCTAGTCGAGGCGTGCCACACACTACGTCTGCTTGTTCAGACGACGAAGTCTCATGATCTGACAAGGACGGCTGATCCTGAGCAAAACCCCAGCCCTCGCGAATGGCTGTCTAGAGAGGCAATGGTTCGTACTGGGATGATGATCTGGGTAATTTGTTCTTACAGTTCTCAAAGACGTGTAGCTAATTGCAGTAGACACTCGATACAATGTTCGTATATGAGTTTCAGACCAAGCCTCTCATCCAGTTTGACGACATTGACGCTGTCCTGCCATGTCACGAAGATATTTGGGAGGATCCAAGCTTGGTTTCACAGAATCAAAGCCGCCTCTCGAATGCTACATTTACGGAAGCACTAGAGATGATGTACGTGGAAAAGCGGCTACCCGTCGATCTCGGAGAGTTCAGCATGGGCCTACTTGTCAGTGCCATCTATCGCCATACAAGGGATGTTGTAGCCCGAGATCGCATTCGTCTCAACTCGTGGACACCAACATCTACGCCACAGCGACGTAGCGATATGCCACCACCTATACAACAAGACTGGTTGCCGACAACGCGGTCTTCCATCAAGTGGCGCAACAGCGCCTGCGATAGCTTAGACGTCCTGCATTGGCCCGCGAATAGTAAGGTCGCACGCCACTCGGGTTTCGAGCATCACACTATTCTCCAGCTGCATCTAGCTCGCCTGATCATACTTGCGCCCACTAGCGCCATACAGCGGTTCGCATCGGGGTCTGCATCCAACGAAACCGCACTAGTCGATGCGGAAGACGGACAGTCGTTCGCTATGGCGCGAATCCAGGTCCTACAGTGGGTAATACGAGATCATTGCAAAGCTAGACTGTGTCTGGTGCACTGTGGGGCTCTCTTCTGGCACGTCCGCAGGTATAGTTGTAGCAGTCTGTTCGAGCCATACGCGATATACATCGCGACTCTTATCCTTTGGGCTTTCTGCGTCTGCATGCATCTTCCCGAAGCCGTTGAAGCCATCGGTTCTGAGTCAGACGAGGAACCAGAACCATCGTTTCTCCATCTTGACCGGCCATTGGACGACGAGCTAGTACAGACGTATGTGCGCATGGGTCATAAGATGTCCGCATACATTGCCAACGTCGGCAGTCTTGAACACGAAGCAGCCCCGGAACGGATTGCGAAAGAAGGTATATCGATTCTGGCCAAAGGATCTCGACTGTTGTCAAATCCGGCCCACGGTCCATCGTCTTCTGCCCAAGACGCGTGTTACACATGGGGCATCGAGCGGTCTTATACAAATCTGCTTCGTCTTCTTGCGAAAGAGCGATAACGCGAATGTCATACGGTGTGAACCATGCAAAGACTCTACCTTTGAGCTCTCATATTATCTCATCGGATGAGCACTTCCTTGAAACATGTTCTTGACAGCTTCCGCTTGGCGTGTCATCACCCTCACAATACCTCGGCCCTGCCAACAAATGCGTGATCACGGTACCATGCACCATAACCGACAACAGCCAAGTTCTCGTATTCTTCGGCACAATAGACGCCGGAGCCTCACGGCGCTTCTCCATCGGGGGCCTTAGTGAAGGATCCACGCTACCGGCGGACTGGTCACGCCCCGCACGCGTCTTGCTGGAAAATGCCGCGTCTAGGAACATCTCCACCGGAGTGTGGCCTTTGCAGGAACAGGCCAAGCCTGACATGCACCCCATGGGGTAGTTGCGTTCCGGTGGAGAAAACCTGGGGTAGCAACCATGTTCGATGCATGGATGATTGAGCGGCTTGGTGTAGGATGACCGACTATGTATATACCGTGGACGTGTCCGCAGATCCACATACCTCACCACGACCAACAGCTCTTGAGACCAGCATTCCGGGTCCTTTGGTTTACCGTCTTGTTACTGCTTCTACATACCTGGTGCACGCACCGATCCAATCCGACCCATCATGGCAGACATGGACGAGAAGGCCGCAACCATGGAACACCATGAGGTCACGTTCGACCAGGCCAAAGCGGCAGCCGACGAGGAGCACGAGATGACGTTGATGCAAGCCATTCGCAAGTACCCTAGAGCCGTTCTCTGGTCGGTGTTGCTGTCCACCTGCATCATCATGGAAGGATACGACATCGTCTTGATGAGCTCCTTCTTCGCACAGCCGTCCTTCTCGCGCAAATACGGAGAGTTCAACCAACGCACTCAGACGTATGAGATAACGGCATCATGGCAGAATGGACTCAGCAATGCTGTGAGCGTGGGCACCATCATCGGCGCGTTTGCGAATGGGTACTTTATTCATCGCTTCGGTTACCGTCCTGTCCTGCTGGTGTCACTCGCGTCTATTTGCGCGTTGATCTTCATCTCTTTCTTCGCGCCAAACGCACCCGTTCTCCTCGTCGGTCAGTTCCTTTGTGGTATACCCTGGGGTGTCTTCGCAACGATGGCGCCTGCCTACGCCAGTGAGGTGTGTCCATTAGCTCTGCGAGGTTACCTCACCGTATACGTCAATCTTTGTTGGGCATTCGGACAACTCATCTCCGCTGGAGTACAATCAGCATTCTCAGGCAACAACACACAATGGGCGTACCGCATACCCTTTGCCATCCAATGGGCATGGCCTATCCCACTCTTTGCAATCCTCTGGATGGCACCCGAGTCCCCATGGTACCACGTCCGTACTGGCAACCTCGAACTGGCCGAGAAGATGCTCATACGCCTTGGATCTGTCTCTCAACGAGACATGGCTAAGCAAAAAGTGGCGATGATGGTTCGGACAAACGAACTGGAGAAGTCGCTTGAGGAAAACACATCCTACCTCCAATGCTTCAAAGGCATCGACCGCCGCCGCACAGAAATCGCCTGCATGGTTTTCGCAGCCCAACCCATCTGCGGCTCCGTCATGGGCGGCACACCCACGTATTTCTTCGTCCAAGCAGGAGTCTCCACCTCAATCTCCTTCAAGATGTCGGTCGGTGGTCTCGGCATGGCATCCGTCGGCACACTAATCTCCTGGGTCCTCATGAGCTACGTCGGCCGCCGAAAGCTTTACCTCTGGGGTCTCGGCGGTCTAGCAGCCATCCTCTTTATCGTCGGTTTCATCAGCGTAGGCGCGGGTGATTCCTCCGGCGGTAACTACGCCCAAGCCGCTATGATGATCATCTGGCTCTTTTGGTACTACATGACCGTCGGACCCATCTGCTATGCCATTGTCGGAGAAGTCTCCTCCACACGTCTGCGCAGTAAGAGTGTGTGTCTAGCTCGCATTAGCTACTACATCGCGCAGATTCTCACCAATGTTATCAATCCGTATATGTTGAACCCCACGGCGGGTGATTGGAAGGGCAAGACGGGCTTTTTCTGGGGTGGCGGCGCGTTGATCTTTTTCGTCTGGACGTTCTTCCGTCTTCCGGAGACGAAGGGCAGGACGTATGAGGAGTTGGATATTATGTTTGCGGAGGGATTGCCTGCGAGGGCGTTTGCGAAACATAGTATCGATGCTTATGCGTATGCGCATGGGGATGGAGCTGATCGTAAGGTCAAGGCTGTGGAGTGAGTGGCTGGGCAGTATGTGAGATAGCTACTGTGGATGATTATGAACCCGCTTTGATGCAGGAACTTACAAATCGCTCCATCTTAAGACAGTGAGAGGAAACCCTGCCTTCGACTACATGCTTTATGAGTGCCGAGACCTTCCTAACCGGTCCTAGCGTTGGCTATGCAACTCTACACCCTGGGGCCGATGACTGACTTCCTAAAGGAGCAATATCTTGTCCGCCCCTCTCTTCACCCAAGTCTGCAGATTTGTATTGATTGCTGATGGAGGCCTTGAAGGAGTGCGGGGTTTCGTACGCCCGGCGGCAACACACAGCCCAAATGTACAATGACGTCGTAAGCCAGGACCAATGACCAACGCTTCTCTGTAATGCTTGAAGATGCGATTGGCTTACTACTCTTGGTTCGCAGCGTGTGTAAGATTTTAGCAGAGCTGTCGTACCGATCTGATAGCCTGTTGTCTGTAATTCGAATGGACGCCTGGAACAGGAGCGACTCGTTCGTCACTTTCCGGTCAAGGACTGCGAATCTCACGCTTCATATGGCGGCCCGAGAGGCTATAAAGCTCTATATCCATGACTTCTCAATGGAAGTTACTCCTTGTTAGTATAGACCCAGGAATAGCTTCGTGGAGTCATGACTAAGTTAATTGCCGTTATTGGGGTCACCGGAAATCAGGTATGCGCCAACATATCAACAACCACTCCAGATAAACACGACACTGACTGAGTCTAGGGTGGGTCAGTTGCTCGCGCGTTCCTGAACGAGCCCGAGTGGAAAGTTCGCGGCATCACTCGCGACACTTCCAAAGCGTCCGCCACGGAGTTGTCATCTCAAGGCGTTGAAGTCGTAGCAGGTAACCTCGATGACCTCGAGTCGCTGAAGAATGGGTTCAAGGGTGCAAATGTCATCTTCGGCAACACTGACTTCTGGGGTCACCTGAATGATCCTGCGACACATAAGCTTGCAGCCGAACAGAAACGTACAGCAAACGAAGTGGCATATGACCGAGAAGTTGCTCAAGCCAAGGCTATCGTCGATGCAGCAGCGGCTCATGTCGGTACTCTGGACCGTTTCGTATTGTCCACGCTTTCTGAAGCTAGGAAATGGAGCAACGGTACCATCAAGTGGAACTTGCACTTCGATGCAAAGGCTGAAACCGAGAACTACCTGAAAGAGACATACCCGGAGCTTTCCGCCAAGACGAGCTTGCTGCACTTGGGCTCCTATGCAAACAACTGGAAACCGGAGAAGCAGGAAGACGGCTCCTTTGTTCTTAGTCTACCCATGAGTGGAGACAGGAAGATCCCCATGGTCGATCCAGTTGCAGACACTGGTCAGTTTCATTCGTCTTCGACATAGCCACCTGCTGACAGCCCCAGGGCGTTTCACGAAAGCACTCGTTGAGTTGCCACCAGGAACACTTCTGAGCGGCGCTGGATCGTTCATATCGTTTGATGAGTGGTGCGACATCTTCGGGAAGGTGAACAATGTGAAATGTGTCTTCAAGAAGATACCCCGAGAAGCCATGGAAAAAGCGATGGGACCCGTATACGGTCCCGAGATTGCCGACATGTACGAGTACTTCGACAAGTTTGGCTTCGAAGGGGGCAATCCCGATGTCGTGTTTCCGTGGGATCTGGACATCGACGTGAAGTACACGTCCATGGAAGAGTATTTGAAGGGGGATGACTACAGCTCCGTTTTGTGAGTTTGCGCATCCACCCAACGGAGCGCTTGTCTGTCGAGGAACGATGAGCCTGTGTCGCTGCGTGAGGCCAGGCGATAACGAGTGGGACTGTTATCTTTGTGGGGCTCATGGCTCGTGCACCTAGCGCAGAATGCCAAATCTCCAGTCGTTACTTACAACCTTCCCACAACTATTGACACTTTCACCCACGCTAAGATCTAGCAGCCAGGGTATCTGGCTTTCACAGCGGCTGCTCATTCGTCCGGTGTGTATGCCATCTTCGATCCCTCCACGTCATCTCCTCGATGCGAACTCTTGATGTTCGCCTGGAGACTTCAGAGCTCTACGAGTGCATGGCGGCGAAATACATCACGGACTCTAAGAATCAAGTCAAATCTACATTATCATGGCAGTAGGTTACTACGCTTCGACCGCTCTTGTCAAAGCCGATCCATAGACTGAACAAAAGTCACGCGCATTGCATGATTACACACCGAACTGATCCGACGTCAACCCCAATAGTCCATCGAATCGAATTGCATCCTGGCATCACGCCATCAAAGTGCTAAGACAGCCGTACCCGAGAGAAAGGCAAGCCATGGGACTTCTTCACCACAAGCGGTATCAGCGCGTCCGGGGTATCGATAGCGACTGCATTACCGACAGCGGGGAAATTCTAGAGCCGCCCCGAGAGGCGCCGTATGCAACGCTTGAACTGGCAACATGTCGGACGATAAACCACTGGACGAGAGCCATGTCTACCCTCGCGCCCTACGCCAAGATGTTTGGGGTTCCAATACTATACATGGTTAGGGTCGTTGCGTTACAGCGGGCGATCTACGGTGATAGGCCCCACCACAATCATGGTAGTGATGTGCGTACAGCCATCCCAACCTGGGAGTTACGGCCCATCCTTCTGATGAGAGACATCATCGTGCTGTTCGCTTGCGTTCAATCGTGGCGCTGTCATTACTTGTTTAGGGTAGTCTCACAGGTCGGTTCGCACATCTATGCAGCAGTCGCCCCTCCCCGCATCGTGACGATAAGACATGCAGACCTCATTTCCGATTGCAATATGTCTCGGGTGAAGCCTCGCTCATCTCAACTATCACAATATTTCCGAAGCTAAGTTATCGCTGCCGTCATTGACTCGGCGTTCATCGTCGTCCATCTCCACCCACACTGCTTGTATTGAGAAGAAGGAAGAGCGCCAGATCAATCGCTGATTGTGTATCTTTATCCTGTCAAACACCTCACGGCCACTCAATATGGCTACCAACCTTTCATTGCTGTTGGGAGCAGCTTTTCTGCTCAGTTCTGTCTTCCTGCTGATCAAGCGGGGAAGGCGCAACATCATCATACAACGGCTTCGTAGCGGCGGACGAAGGGTATCGGGCGCAAAGACTCCTCCAAGGTCTTTGTCTCCAGAGAAGAGGGCAGCGTCCATTTCTCAGATTGATCACGCCAGCACTTTCCCACCATCACGACGCTGCGCTTTGGTTGATATCGCAAAGACAGACAAGGTTGAAGAAGTGTCACCAGACTGGCAGAAGAATGCCTTACCCATGGAAACATCATACCTGGACGCTGACGACTCTACATATCTCCCATGTGGCTTCTCCGTGAAAGAGATCAAAGCCCTCGGTGATTTCCCGGACTATGCTACACTCAGCGGCGTACCTCACCCAGAGCCATATCCAGAATTCGACATCAAGAAAGCACTGCCGCGACCATATAGACCGTTCCGATGGTCTTACCATCAAACGATGTGTGAGTAGTCATGCTAGCTACACCCCGTACTACGCTTATCAAAGGCAGCAATCACCAAGATGCAGCCCGACTGGTGGATCGAGCTCGAAAACACGTATGAAGAACGCATCAAGCAACGTCGTGACCTTTTCGAAAAGCATAGAGAAGCAGTCCTTCAAGCTCTACCAGGGTCAGAGCTCGCCTGCAAAGAACTGATGGAAATGGTCCTGCAATTCGTGTGCGCCAGGTACCCGCATTACTTCCACTTATCAGCAGACAACAAGACTTTCCACAACGGCATCTTGAAGACAGACACCGATCTCACCACCACGTCACCCTTACACGTCCTTCTCAACAATATCCCCGAAGACTTCGCCATCATGCTACGAAACGAGAAAACAGGACTATACGTCTTCCGAGCAGGCATCATATGCAGTGCGCTCGGTTGGAACGTAGGCTCGAAGATCGGTCTCGAACTCGCCGACATACATAAGCCCATTCCAGACTACAAAGAGAAGATGCAGTTCTCTATGGACAGGTGCGTTCCATTAACACTCCCCACCATCTCACGCTAACCCTAACACCACAGATACTTCGCCAAAAAGCCGACCGAAAAGCCCATCCAACGCGGCTCCTGGGGTCTAGAAATCGACACGCCCCTTTACATGCCCCCGGGCGACCCCCATGAAGCCCTCCGCAACCAACAACTTCCAGCCTCTGAACTCTCCACATCCCGCATTCACCTCCGCGTAGACTGGCAGACGCTGCGTCGGCTACCGTTGTCAGGCGCCGTCGTATTCAACTTCAAAGCATTGTTTACCCCGATCGAGGAGTTTAGGGAGGAGAAATGTGTACCAGGGTTGTTGCTCAAAGTGCTGAACGAGGGGAAGAAGGAGTTGATGGAGTACAAGGGGACATGGCATGTTGAGCATGTTGTTAAGCCGAAGTTGGAAGAGTGGCATAGAGAGCAAGTTGAGAAAGGGTTGGTGGGTGAGAATTGGGAGCCCCAGACTCTGGATGAGAGTCCTTGGTTTGAGGGGTGGGAGGGGAAGTGGAGGGAGAGACAAGGGTTTTGAGGCAGCGACGATCTAAGGTCGGATGAAGAAGGCAATCGCATATCCCGCATGTTACTCTGATCTTACTTGTACATAGCCAACATATTCCAGATCGCGCTTTCAGGTTCGCAGACCAAGTCTCTTAGGCAGCTTACCCCGATAAACCCACGCCGCACCCGCAGCAACCGCACTCAGCGTTCCAAGCACCAACGTAGTGTTACTCACCATCGTCTCCTCGCGCACCCTACCAATCTTCGTCTCCTGCTTCCCCGTCCCGAAAACAACTTTACTCGCACTAACACCGCCAGTAGCAGTCGCACTCGCATCCTTCTCTCCCTCATCAGTAGTAGCCGTCGTCTCGAAATCCTCCCAGTCGATCTTGGCAAGCTGCTCCTGGTACTCGACGACCGTCCCGGACCAGTTGTTGGTAATCCGCCCCTCTTTGTTCTTATACCACGACATGCAGTTCGGGTCGGCAAAGCTACTGTTCTTCAAAATTTGCTGAATGCCTTCGTTCCACTCGTGCGTCCTGTCTTCTTTGGGCATGATGCCCATTCTCTGGCCGCGGTTTCGCGCGTCAAGGACTGCAGAAACGAGGGTGTTGAGGTAGCGAGACTGTGCTTCGATCATCAGAATGATGGAGTTGTGGCCTAGATTTGTGTTGGGGCCGTAGAAAAGACCGAAGTTGGGTAGGGAAGGAATGGTGGTGCCGTAGAGGGCTGTAGCGCCAGAGGACCAGATGTCTGCCAAAGGGCGCGAATTGGCTCCAGTGACTTTGATGGGGTGGAGGAATTCGACTGTCCGGAAGCCGGTAGCAAGTACGATGGTGTCGTGCTCGTGATGTGTGCCGTCTTCGAGCTTGATGCCGGTTTCTGTGATGCGACGGATCTTGTTGGTCTCGAGGGTAGTCTTCGGGTTGGCTACGGCGGGATAGTAGTCGTCAGATATGATGACCCGTTTGCAGCCTGGGCTGTAGTTTGGTGTGAGCTTCTCCCACAGTTGGGGCTGGTCGGGAATTTGTGTCTTCATCATTTCCATGCAGCTGCTTCGAATTACTTCTGCGAACTCGCTCTTGCTATCCGTGACGGCGTCGTGGAAAGATTCTCGGAAATCCATCATGGAACTGCGTATGCGCCAGCGAACGGGAGGTAGGTAGCGCAATACGGCACGTTTGAGAGCGCTAACGGGGCCGTCGAGACGCGGAATGACCCAGTTCGGGGATCGTTGGTAGATGGTCAGAGAAGAGGTTTGTGGTAGGATCTCTGGAATGATCTGAGCAGCCGTGGCACCTGTGGCTTTGTCAGTATCCATTGCTCCAAACACATAGTGTTGCACATACCGTTGCCGATGATGCCCACACTCTTGCCCTCAAGCCTGTGGCTCCAGTCCCAGCGCGCTGAATGCATGATCTTGCCCTTGAAGTTCTCCAAACCTTCGATATCCGGGTATTGTGGCTGGTTGAGCTGACCGACAGCTGAGACCAAGAAGTCGCACTCGATGCTGTAAGCAGGGTTGAACTCTGCATCTTTGCCGCCAGTCACATTCACGTCGACCTTCCAGCGGTTCTTCGAGTCGTCCCACGTTGCGGCTTCGACGGAGGTGTTGAAACGAATGTATTTGTATAGGTTGTACTTGCGGGCTACGTTGCGGAGATAGTCCTGCAGCAAACGTTAGTGTCTGTAATGTAGGGTAGATATGAGAGGAAAACTTACAAGTATCTCTTCTTGTCCGGGATACTCTCTCGTCCAATCTGGGTTTTGTTCGAAGGAATAACTGTACAGCATACTCCAAACGTCGCAGCAGCACCCGGGGTACTTGTTGTCATGCCATGTGCCGCCGACACTAGAGCTCTTCTCCACGATGATGAAGTTGTGACATTGGTTTCGCTTGATGAGGTCGATTGCCATGCACATTCCTTGGTGATATTAGCTATAGAAACCATATAGTTGTTAGAATACTTACCAGAGATACCTGCTCCGATAATGACAACTGCAGCATCAGTGTGATCTTTGTTTCCCACTGGGACCTGTGGCCATGGCTGCGATCCTCCCATCCTGACGAGTATAGCTTCTTTCGAAGGTCTGTGCCAAAGGAAAGTGTTTAATCACGGAACTGAACTGGAACTAGAAATGTTGGAGATGGGCGAAAGGACGAGTGGAGCCACGAGATAAAGCCTACCCCAAGGACCCGCCGCAGGGGTTTCTTTCCGACGATCAAATGGCATGGTGTAGTACCATCATTGCCATCCAGCGAATGATCGCGTCGATAGCTTCCCGGTCCGAAGTAGTTCAAGTCCCCTTCCCCTCAGTGATTACCCACCCGAGCATCCTGACCCGAGGTAGTACAACATCGGCCTGATTCATACGTGCAGTCGTCACACTGCCCGGGGTGAATGTGAACTTAGGTGACCATTGCGGCCGTATTGCTTGATACTTCTGTAAGCCTCGTTCAGCCCATGGGGGAGCATTACGGGCGTGATGCAGGGCGGGGATGAGTGGCGGTTGACAAGGGTGACGACTGAGTGTGGGGAAAGGGCTTAGCCGGCAGCTCTAACGCTTTTGGAACAGCAGCCACGCCACTGTCGAGTCGACCAGATCGACTCATTTGATTTAACGTTCAAAGCTAAATAATGGGGTGCAAGCCTGGCGAGTCGCGTTGGCTATTACTTTTGGATTGTTTGCTATGACTAATTTACCACATTGCTGTCACCAGATCACCACCTGTCTATAACATGTAGTGTGGTGCGGACAATAAAAATGAACTTAAACTTGGCATCAAGGACTAGTTGGTGTATGAATCGCTCAATTTATCGGTTTCTTCCCTCTGCAGCTTCCCACAGACCACGATCTCCTTCTGCCGCGAAAGACGCTCGAAAATTGCGTGTGGCCCGTGTCTCTCTCTTCGACGTCCCTTCTACGAGACTCCCCCGAGAGGATAGCTCTCTGCCATGTGCTTCTTCATCCGACTCGAACTGGTGGGTCTGCACCACCCCCCATCGTAAATTCTTGTCTCGCTGCTTCCCTTTGTCCCTTCTTGAATGCGGGCCAACAGAGCTCTCTGGTGACCTAGAAACTGCGCGTATTCGAGACCATGCTTCGCTCATCTGTGTCTTGGAGACATGTAGTGCAGGGTCTCTAGGCCTAGTCTCGATCAAACAGGCCTGATCAGCTTGGAGACTGCGTTGTTTCTGTGCATGTGGTCGACAGGAAAGCTCGTCGGGCGCTGTCGCTTGCTTGTCTTTCGAAAGGCTATACCCTGCGTCAGGGGTATCTTCGCTTTTGGTACCGTTCTGAGATTGTGCTTCGCGCTCCTGTCTTGATCTGGTGGACGGTGTTTGATTGCGTTCGGTGCTTGCTGCCAAGTATCGACTTTGCTTGACTTTCTCGCTGTATTGAAGATGCCGCGGATCGTCGTGTAGAATGTGTTTGAGTGCAAGGTACAGGAGGACAGAGTACTGAACGACGGTGGCTCCCGTACTCGTTGGGTTTCTTGGAGTTTTCGAGTTTGATCCTCCCGATGTATGCAAATTAGAGTTCTTCATCTCAATGGCGTGTAAAGCCCATGGAGCCCAATCTACAAGCGCGATGCATTATTGATTCATTGCAGTCGTGTGAGTATGTGCTGTTGACGCCATAGCTTGTGGGTGACTCTGACTTCGTCAGTTGACGTGGAAGCTATAACCATCGCCAAAAGCCAACAGTCCAAGCTCGAAAGCTTGCTGCAGTGAGATCACTGTTGAGATGAGTGTTACAAGTTGAGGCGTTGCCGGGACCTCCGTGAACCTTTTACAAGATTCCAAGGTTGTAATGTGTGCGATTGATGTCAACGGGAGGGGCCGCTCACTAAGGCATAGGGGCTGCGTAAGATGAATCTGGTCAGCGACTACGTATGCCGGTCAATTATACTCTAGAGGGGTCGCAGTGCCGGACTTCCAAAGTTTCGCGGCGGCCCTTTGTTTCGAGCAATCTCGATCGCCTGGACACCACCAAGGCAAGCATGCATTCAGCAGCAATAACTTTTAACATCACTGGGATCGCCGCGCAATTTCGTCGGATCGAAAGTTTGGCACCACGACTCTGAGGCAATCGTGATTGTGTGCGTGATGAAAAGCGTGCAGCAGTAGTCGCATGCTTAGACGTCTCGCACCAGGCATCAAATGAGCCTTGCTGATGAAATCCATGTTCGCGCAGTGCTCATCCACGGGTAGTGAGGCCGTTGAATGGTGCCGGCCTAGGGCATTGGAGGCTCATGTACCCACCCGATGCAGTGGTTAAGTGTTGACTTATTTCGATATCGCACCATGGTCGCACGATACCGTCCCTAGCGACAATAACAGGTGGATCTACGATCTGCGATCTACGCGCCTAGCGAGTGACAAGGCCGCGAGGGTTTGTGAGAGTTGAGCGAATCTTGTGCCAGCTTGGGCGGCGAGTATTGGTAGCTTTAGCCGACGCACTTCATAGAGGGGACCCGCACATGAACCAGCTGGCTGAGCAGGCTCGGATCTTGGTTCACCGTCCTTGATAACGGAGCACTGAAACGCAAAACGAAGTGCTTGGATGACGCATGCCATGACGATGAGGGGGCTCAAGCAGAAGGAATGGAGGGATGAAGCGACCGTTAAGAGGCCTGTCCAGAAGCCAGTGCGCTACGGCAGCACAACAATAGCCCGTCGGGTTATTCCCAGGATATTCTCACGGAAGTTTCCAGCCAGGGTCGGCAGACAGAAGTTTCTTCTCGCCGGCGGAAGCTTCTCTCACCCCTGCTATTAAAGGTTGAACAGTATTGCAGTGGTGGACATGGCAGCAGTGATGGATGAATGGCGAATGTTTTGCGATGTGAAACTCGCCCCCGCATGTCCAGCCGTCGTTCGCTCGGCCAGGAAGATGTCAGCAAAGGACGCAGCGCGATTGGCGTGCTGAGTGCAGGCCCGCGAACAAAAGGAGCATGCTCGTGTTTACTGGAGTGCGGTCGTGTGTATGGAGATCTGGAAAGCGGTAGCCGGATCGAGCGCATGTCCGCGGCCCTTCTTGGCTGCTATTCGTGGGGCCGCAGCGCCGCTAAGTTTCGATAGTCTGGTCCTGCTGGGAAGGGGCACACGATCGCTCCTTCCGCCGATGTCCAGGGCTGGCTGGAGGACTGCGAGGGCAGGTCATGGCGGGTTGTGGCTGTTGGGCGTCTTCAGGAGGCGCGTGCGGGTGGGCGACAGTGGGTTTGATTGACGAGTGGCAGATTTGGCCGCTGTCGAGGCTTCAGGCGCCCATCCGGCTGATTGGCTGCATTACTATTCTACGAGGCATCGAGACTCCAGGCTGGTGGTCGGCTGCGTCCTGTCTAATGCTAGCTGCCACTCTGAAACTCCAACACCTCCTGGTCGGGCCGGCGCACACCACGACGCGCAGTATACCTATCGTCCTGTCCCGTCCTGCCTGGGAGTTCTTCGCTCCTGGTCCCGCTGCACTGCACTATTCGATGCAGGCCAACCCACGGCGCATCACCACGATTCTCCCGCCATATCATCCAAGGTCACCCATGCATGCAGTAGTCGCCAGTAGCTTTGTCTAGCCATTCCTAGCCGACCATACTCTACCAGCTTTCCGCGCGCGCATCCATTTCCTCGTCGCGCACCTGCATCACATATACGCGCTCTGCAACCGCACTCTACTCGAAATCCTGCCTTCGGCCTAATACAGCATACTCTAATCAACCATGAAGCAACGCAAGTTTTCGTTCAATCTGGCGCCAGTCGTACGTACTATCCCCAGTCCTTTATCCGCAGTCGCATCCCAACGGTAACTCACCGCCAATGTAGAAGATTGCCTCCAAGTCAGACCTCTCCGACAAGCCTGCGACAGAGCCGACTCCCTCGTCGTCACACAAGAGACATACCTCCAAAGACAGCATATGCGACCAATCGCCCTACATCAACCGCCGCGTTCTCGACGAACATACCGATCTCGAACTGCGCCTAGCATGTCGCGAAATCCTGCAGAACTTCAAGCCGTCCGACCATGGCATGGAGAACACCGACCCCAAGCTCGACTTTGGTGGCCTCGGCCGACGCAAGGAGAGTAAACCACAGGCCGCTGAGGTCACTGTCCGCATGCCTACTGGCGCGCCCCCAGAGCTGTCGGCGACTTCGACGTCATTCATGATGCGCAAACCCAGCACCAAGACACGCTCACGCGCCAAGGCAGACCAAGAGATAAGAGCAAGGACATATGGAGATATGCCTGCACGCGCGAATAGCAGTCGCAAGCGAGCTGACTTCGGATGGCTTGACGAACGGGACGCGGAGAGGGAGGAGAAGTTGAGGTCATACGGCAAGACTTCCATCGACGTACCGCGATCCAACGTCTACCGCAATGACTCGGATGAAGACGTGACCCTCCCCGTAGCAGTCACATCTACTCTCGCCAACGCCAAGATGTCGTCGTCGGTGCCCACTTCCGCATCGTTCCTCCACAGCAGGAGTACAAACAGACTGTCCCACCAATCCGATAACCCAGCAGCAGTTGCAGATGCACAAGCCGCCGAATGGATGCGTCGAGAGCTGGAGAAGAAGCGGCAGCAAGAAGCATCAGAGGGCCACCGTGGTCGGTCATCGACTTCGGTCCGCCCACCTAGTCGTGCTACCAGCGTCAAGGAAAGCGTCAAAGAATACATCTTCCCGGGCTCCCGTAGTCGGGCTCTGAGCCGCGCGCAGTCCAAAGACTCTCTTCGTCCAGCAGCCGACAACGACGACCCAGGTCTCTCACGCAGTGGCTCGAATTCAGGGTGGCGTAGTTGGGGCATCCCCCGCCGCTTGAGTTCAAGAAGCAACAGCAGACCAGGAACCTCGAAAGGAAAACCGGAGGAAGCTCAGCCCAGGAAGTCCGAGTCCAACGGCATCAACTTGAACAGAGAGCTACCCCCACTACCAGGTCTGGACACATGGAAGGACCACCAAGAACCTTCCCAGGAGGAGGAAATAACAGTGTCGATGAAATCTCCCACATCGCCAACCGCCGCAACACACATTGCAAGCATGATGCGCTCGCAGGAACAGCATCAAGAGCGCTCTCCGGCAGCGAAGAAACACAGGAAGAGCGGATCCGATACGTTGGCCATGCAATTCAACGATTCGTTTCCTGCACGGAAGTCGTCCCGCAAGCAGGATACTAAGCCCACAAGGACCAATCCAGGCAGCCCAACACACCCCGGAAACACGATGACTGGCTGGTCCTCTACTAGTAATCTAGACCAGCGCCTCGAAGCAGGCTCCAGCAACCACACTCGCCAACGAAGCGGAGATAGCCTCTCTGCTAGCAACCAGAGTGCCGAAGCGTCTACCTTCTCTCGTAAGATGAGTCTGGATACCACGGCTCAGAAGACCGTCTCCAACGAGCCCAAGACTCCAGGCCGAGAAGAGCAAAAGTCCAAATTGAAGAAGATCTTTAGCGGCTGGATGCACAAGAAGGACAAGAAGGAGGACTGGATGCATAAAATGGAGAAGGAGGGTGTCAGGGAGGGTGTCCTAGTGCAGGACGGCAGCACAAGCGCGTCGCCTGTGGTGCGCTACTAATCTCGCTTCGCTGCCGTCTAGGTATCGGTCTGGATCGTGCCTTCCGTTTTGGATGCGTCATACACCGGATTGGGGTATTTGTATACATGTAATGACGCTCACGCGTAACGTGCAACGACGCAACGCCACTTTTCATTTCTTCTCGGGGTTTTCTAAGGTTTGTACATCCGGCTGCGCCGTCATCAGTACGATGCATTTTCTTTTCTTCCTGCATAATGGTATAGGATTGTGGTAATAGAATGAGATTTCTGGTGTTTCTTAAAATTTGTGCACGATCCCGATGCTTGCAATGTCAAAATCGCATGAGTTCCACAATTTTTCCTTCGTCCTGTCTTTGAGTATAGAATTAGGCCAGGCTGTCTATTGGCGCTGCACATGTGACTGCGCTTCGTGAAGTGTAGGTGTCGCGTTAGATTGGGTGCTCCTTCCCTGGCTACAATCAGAACACCTATCTACGTTCAACAACTTAGCAAGCGTCTCTTTCCAACCCCCATATTGCGCACTGCATTCTACAGGCCGTCACCATGGGTATGAAAGCCGGCTTCCCTTCGCGACAGCGACTAACTACATATCAGCAACGCCCTCACCTTTACCTGAAGGTCCCCGCTTTCCCACGTCGCTTTGAGATATAGCATGTAAGGTGTCTGAGTGGTAGCTATGGCAACATCGTACAACTGACCGCTAGTATTCTTCTTCGGCCTTATATCGACACCACGCGACTGCGGACGCGCACCGGTCGGCAATTGAGTACACAAGCTATCGTGTGGAGATTCTGACGATACTTGTGATCCCAATACCAAGCACCACAATCAAGTGGCCGTTGCAAACTACCCGCTCCGAGGTTGGCGGCGCATCACATACACCATCGCTTTTGCAGTTCCGGTTGGATTTATCGACATATCACGACCGACCATGTGAGAGCCATGCCTCCAATAAGATTGTGCAAAAGAGCTAACACCGAGGTGTTCAAGTTCTATTTCCCCCACCAGAACGCCTCCATCATTATGCCTTTCTGAACGCTACATCCACACAAATTCCCAACTCGACTCGTTTGTATACGAAATCAAGTCCCCGTCTTCCGTCACAATACTCGCCGGACATGTGTAACGTCATTCATTTTTTCTTCAAATGCCAGCATCTACTACGTCTACGAAGATCGCGCTGCAAAGGGACTAAACATAAAATGACGCGTACAAGTATCAAAGCTGCTTGTACAGCGGAGTCCTTCCTTACTGTGTACGCTCAGACCGACTGCAGTTCCTGTGAACACAAGCTATGGGAGAGCCATTGGGAAGCCAAAATAGGGCGAGCGAGATTGTTCTTAGCTAAGCTGACTGAGAAGCGGATGCCTGGTGTCGATGAGATATCGACTCTGGTCCGAGAACTTGACGAGCAATACTACGTGGCTTCCTGGGACGCAAGAAATATGCAGATACCTTCACACTCTTTTAAGAAAAGCGTGGCGCGGGTAAGCATAACCTACCATCAGACAGCTCGCTCGCCCCTGACCCAGGAGGTACGACCGGAAGACGTCGTTGACCCCAAGAAGCACATGAAGGACTGGACGGAAATGGATGAAGACGACTACGATGGCGACTACGTTGCGAGCACCGATCCAATTCACCCAGTCAGTACCGATTACTCGCATCCTCTCGACGATGACGACGGTAGCTGGATACTCAATCACTTCTCGCCTGAAGAGATGGAGTCTGCGGCCGGAGATCTAAACTTCGATCAGAGCGGATGGAGTTGGGACAACAACGATAATGTCAACGACAGCGACAGCGACAGCGAGAAGGGCGGAACGCCTATGATTGCTAAATCTCAAGAAGAGAACACTACGTCACAGACCGGCGATGACGATCTCACCGCGTGGGGGCCGGAAGCTTCCGCGTCCTCCATGCTTTCGAAAATCAGCATGGATGGTCTCAGCGTGGAACAAAAGCGTGCGAAGGAGCAGAAAGAACTCATAATCGATGCATTCTGGGTAGTCGTGAATGAGTCCACGGAGCCACAAAGACAATCAGACTCCAAGATAGAGGATCTGAATGTGATCCTTCGCAGCCTAGACATCTTTCAGTCCAGTACAGCTCCCTCAACTCCTTGCACGCCGACCAAGTCACCTCACATGTGGGTAGATGGTCCCGCGGACGCCCCCCATACTCCACCATCGACACCTGATCGACCCGTAACACCACCAAGTCCCAACTCAACACGCACAGCTTACAACAAACAACGCAAGTTCCTCAAGAAGCGACTCCAAGAAGATGCTAACGAAGACAAGTACTACAGTGACTTGCTCCTTGTTTCGCGATTCGAGGCGAGGGCATTTGAAGGACCAGAGGGGAGGTTTATTGCTGATCCCCAGATGGTGAGAGCATGTGGTGGAAGGGGGAACGGGTGGTTTCAGTAAGGATGCAAAGTTCAAGGGCAGAGGCATTAGCTTATGTACGGATGTGCCTTTCTTCATTACTCATGTACTGGCAGTACCATTACGCACTGCCATTCATACCCATGTCTATCAAATCCCATTCAAGCGCCGAACGCTATGCATATATCTCATCGCCGAGCTAAACGCATCAGATCACGTAAAGCAGGTAAAACAGCCCACAGCATGTGTAATGTCGCCAGACCCAATCTGCGTACGGTCCGATACGCCCCCCACCCTGTCCAGTAACATAGCCCCAGTATGATCAGTGGGAACATGATTGGGCTCACTATAAACAAGAGCAGATAAGCTGGCCCCATGCTGAGAATCGCGAACACGGCATGATACCATTGGTTGACAAAGTCCTCGAAGTCGTCAGGAATATCGTCTGGATCAAACAGCGCATGGGGATGACGGCCGTCAGTCATCGCGCATAAGCTCCGTCGCCTTGCCGATCTAGAGCACCATCAGCGACGTGAATAACCTAGAAGTCTACGTTAGCTCAGGATGTTCGTTTCTAGACTAATGTAGACTCCAGCGTACCCGTTCATTCATGCTGGTGGAGCGACAGGGATCACCACCTGTCGCCACCAGAATCTCCGCTCATGACAGTATTGAAGAAGTTGGCGTCGCCGCCGTAGTTGCCACCTCCGCCATACCCGCCCATGCGGTTCTTGCCCTGGGTCTTGGCGTGTTCAACGATGGAACTCTTGCGGCCGAGATCCTTCGCTAGAGAGACGGAGTTTGTAATCGAGGATAGCAGGTTGACTAGCTGCACATCAGATGCTTCTTGCTGGGATTCGAGCGAGAAAGCGGCTGAGTCTGGCGGGCCGAGTATATTCAAACGGGCGAGCATGGCGGATACACTGCGGAGGATCGAGTGGTCTAGAGGCAGGGGATGTTGCGCGTCTGGCGCGGCGTTGACGGGTAGCGACGGGTCGGAGAGGTACGATGCTGGGAGCGAGTCGATGTATGCGCGCAGGAGCATGATTCGTCGGCTGAGCATGCGAATAGCGTTCATCTTGGCTGTGAGAGAAGAGAGCACTGGGCAAAGGTTAGTATGTCTGTACCAAGTGGGATTTGAGGTCGCTGAACCCACCTTCTTCATCGTCTGCGTTCAGGATCACCGACTCGTCGATGGGCGCATCCTTCTCTTTCTCCTTTTCCTTCTCCTTTTGCTTTCCGCGTGTGTTTCGCTTCCCAGTAACCTCGTCGGTTCTTGAAGGCTCAGGCGCTGCACCTGCTACGTTTGTTGTGCCTTCCACTGCAGTAGCGTTGCCACCACCCCGCGCGACAAAATCGACAGAGATCATTTCCGCCTCGCCAGTCTCAATCGAGTAGACTAGCTCTCTAAACTTGGTCGACTTTGCTTGCACAGCGCCGTCAATGTCCATAGCCTTATCATTCGGATCACTCGTTGTATTGACGGACAGAGACTCGTAGACGGTGAGAGGTAGCTTTCCAGCGGCAGTCTCTTTGGAGAAGGCATTTTCTGGGTGGAAGAGTACGAGTAGCGGGGACTCGGTGTAGACTTCTGATATGCGCGAATGGATAGGAAGGATGTGGGGTTCTGGGCCGGAGGCGGGACCGAGGGTAAACCAGCCTACAATGTCTAATTGTGGCTCCTTGTGTACGTCCTTGACTACAGTAACGTAAGCTTCGTTCGAAAGTGTACATGGGAGATATAGACGAGAAACTTACAGTCTTCAATACGCTTGCTGAACCACTCGTCGTCTAGTACCGTCTCCCCGTCTGGGTTTGACTGGAGCTTTGCTTGGAAAGCAACCTCCATCGTGATATTCTGACCATCCTGCGCGCCTAGTATGGCTCCAACTACGGGTCCTGTCTGCTGCCGTAGTGTGTGCCGTGTTACGCAGTCTGTTATTGTGAGGAGTACCAGCGGGTGAAGTTGTACTGTCGGACTTGCGTCAGAGGCGCGGGTGGTCGAAACGAGTGGATTCCCTGATGATTCGGCCATGTTTGCTGCAGTATAATCTGGTGTCGCGTTCGGAGATTCTCGATGGTCGAGATAGTGATAGGAAGTCGGAGTGGCAGTCGAGCAGCAAGGCAATTGCTATGATATGGTCTTGGTGGGGAGCTTGCTTAGGCTGCAGCTGCCACAATTCGTGGGGTCGTGCCAAGGCGCTACTCTTCCAGCGTTAGTGTCAACGCGACTGCAGCGCGACGCGCTTTCCTTGGGAGAGACCCGTCATCGTCTGGCTTTCACAACACTCAACGTTCTCAGATTTCAGAGACAAGCATGACGAACCGAGGCGAGCATTCGTATCCGGAGTACGATTATGGCATTATGATTCATAGTTCGGCCTAACCTCCAGATCTTTGCATCAATCGCCAAATACGCCCCAAAACTCCTGACCGAATCCAACCCAAAAGCGAATGGTATCTTAGTCTTGATCCAGACTTTCAAAACGCCTGACCGCGATCGCCGCCTTTCGGACGATCTCTCTATGTCGTTTCTATCGTGTCGTTATGAATGCCACAAAAGTGAGTGTACATATTGGTGGTTTCGTGGCCTGTTTGCTTCTCTACATCTCGACGAGGACTTTGAGAACAAGCTTGCCGTCTTCGTCGACCGTCTTGCCAGCGAGCTCGAATGCTTCTTTCGTCGATGTCAGTCCGTGGAATCGGTGGGTGATCATGTTGTCAAGACTTGGAAGTACACCGGCAGACAAGATCTTGATACCGGTCGGGTAGGTATTGGCATAGCGGAAGATGCCGATAATGTCGACTTCCTTCAGATGAGATGCTGACATGGGTAGTGTCTGGATCGGTGTACCCATTCCGACCATGATGAGCTTGCCGCCAGGCCTTGTCGCCTGCAAGAGATCAGAATCAAGTTCGCAAGTGTTTCCCAAAAAGACTTACGTATAACCCAGCTTGCATGCAGATTTCCTTTCCAGTGCAGTCAAAAGTGACATCAGCACCTTCAAAGTCTGGCTCGTTCTGGGATGCAATCTGCATAACATCGGCAGCCAACTCTTTGGCTACAGGAAACTTTTCAGCAGCCTCGTTGCCACCTTTCTGTGGGGTCACGATATATCCTTTGTGCGCAAAGCCGTTAGCCAAGGCGTAGTTGATACGGCCGTAGTCGATGTCTGCGATGACAACGGTTGTGGCGCCAGACACCTTGGCCATCGCAGCTGTCAGAAGGCCGACTGTGCCTGCGCCAAAAACAATGGCCGTGTCACCCTGCTCGATCTGGGCTCTTCTTGTTGCATGGATCGCCACAGAAAGAGGCTCCAGAAGCGCAGCCGACTCCATGGAGACGTGTGAAGGTAGTCTGATTTAAGTTGTCAGCTAGGTTCGGCTTCGGGTCGATCATGCACGACATACTTGTGGCACCATTTTGCGGGATGGTTGATGCGTTCCTGAAGCGTTCCCTGGAAATGAGGCACAGATTTGGCGCTACTCCGAAACCTCATCTTCGGGCAGAGGTTGTAGCGTCCCCGTTGGCATGACCTGCAGTTGTCGCACGGCACACCTACCTCCAGAGCAACACGGTCGCCAATCTGGTAACCGGTAACACTCTGGCCGATGGCAACCACAACCCCAGCAGATTCGTGGCCTAGTGACAACGGCTCGCAAGCCTGCAGATCACCGTTGCAGAACTTGCTGTAGTAGGAACAATCGCTCCCGCACAGTCCAGTGGCCTTGATAGCGATCTGGAGTTCATTGGCGGCGGGGTCCGTAATGGTACGAGTTTCCTAATTGGATTCGTTAGCTTCACGTTCAGATGCTCGATATACACCAAAACCCCCACGAGTTGTGGGTAGACGTGGGATGTGTAACGAAATTGGAAGGCATACCAGCCGCAAATCCCTTGGCCCATGTAAGACCGAAGCTACGACAGTCGAGGACTTGGAGTAGTGCCTCGTTGGGATTGGATAGATATCTGCGAGAGCTGAGGGAGCCATTACGAGAAAAATTTGGTAGTATGGGGGATGGTGGCAATGGAGCGGGAAGAGGTGAGGAAGAGATAGCTAACAGAAGCCCACCCCACGGGAGCGTGGAGGCTGATATAGTTGTTGAGAAGGCCCATTTCGATCAACGGTGGCCTGGCACAAGCTGGGCTTGCCTCAGGTTGGTGCATCGGCGAGATAATGGCATCGCATGAGGGAAGATCCAAAGGTTCCACGTCATTTGCTAGGCGTATCAAACTGGCGGGACGAGCATGGATAGGGATGCGCGACCAGAGCTACTTGGTACGGTAGGCCTCGCGTAGTCTTTTCTTTATCCCGTTACTCTGTGTGTATATATGAGGCTAGATCTTCTTGTGGGTACACGACCGGGAGCTCTTGTTATTCGCCCAGCGAGCTAGTATCTAGGGACTCAAGCATTCTTAGACTCGTTTTGCCGGATCAACACCGTATAGCTCCGGGACGTGCACACGCAAGATGCGATATAGGAGCAATGTCATAATGCAGTGTGTATCTTGAACACGTCTTGTCTTGTGTAGTGGCCGTCTATCGGAAACCCGCCGGCGTTGTGAAACAGCGATAAGGCAGACTGCACGGCTGTGGAGCCCGCTGCCAAAGGTTGTGTTGGGATTTACGGCAGCGAACCTGTCGGTTGTAGTGGCCCTGCAGAACCACAGATCCCTGAGCAGGACGCGCGAAACATCAGCCTGATATGCAGGCTGTCCTGTCTCGGCGTTAGCATGTCGTTACCGCTAAGCCAAAGCTCAAACCATAAGTCGTCCTCTGCCCCCGGTGCATCATCAATCTTGGATCCTTAGGGCCTGCACACCGACGGGAAAATTCGACCGCTGACTGGCTAGCGTATCTGGCTGATTTTCCAGAAGACTTCCCGAAGTCACTTTTGCAATATAAAATCCCGGATATATTGCCCATGTGCGAACGGCTCACGCCCAACGGTGCGCCTCCAGACTGGACTACTCTGGGGATCATGGTAGCAGTCCCGTAGTGCGGCCCCTTAGCGGGATCCTCCTGGGGCAACTGTGGTGT